CTATCTCAAAACAACAACAAAAAAAACACACACACAAAAAGGGCTGTAGCTCAGTGGCGGTGTGCCACTAAATTCAACCCTCTAGGACTGAAAAAAAAAAAAAATGAAAGGGCTGGGTGTGGTCGGCCTATAATCCCAGCACTCGGGAGGCTGAGGCAGGAGGATCACTGTAAATTCCAGACCAGCCTGGGCTACATAGTGAGTTCCAGGTCAGTCTCAGCTACATAGTGAGACCCTGTCTCAAAAACAAACAAACAAACAAAAACAACGAAGAAGGCTTACGTTTTTTTCAACTTATGGTGGGTTTATGGGACACAGCCGCACCACAAGTCGAGGTGGCTGTGGGTGTGTATTATTGAAGAAACTCTGTGGCCCAAGAGCCCTGTAACTGCTGGCACTGGGAAGGAGACTCTGCTGTTGTTCTCTAAGCAGTGTCACGATTCTGTCCTCCCAAGCTCCTGTGGCTCTCCCCATCTGCAGACACAGGCGTTTGGGTGACCGCCGCCTGGAAGGGTGCCCACACCTCTAATCTGAGAGCCAGTGAAAGCTCTACGCCCAGCTCCATGACGAAGAGTAGCGCTTATGTCAGCAGCCGCATTGTCTTTTAGGGCCCACACATGTCACTCTTAGGTGACAATGAGTTAGCGCATTCCGGGGAGCCAAGTGAGTCAGCAGCACACAGCAGTAACCCAAGGACATAACATGACACGCAGGGGCTCCCCACTCCTGCAGATGATGTGCCTGTGATCTGGGGACAGGATCTCTGGAGGCCTCACCAGGGGAATTGTGTTACGCTGCGTGGGTTTTGCTGGCATGGAGGCCACTTTCAATGAACGGACTTTCATAAATCAAGGACAGGTGGCTCCTAAGTACATTTCATCACATGCTTAAAAAGAAAATACTCTTGTAATTTAAAAAAAGTTCTGTTACAGAAAAGAAGAAGAAGAAGAAAAAAAAGCTATTGCCATTAAAGAGTTTCTAGTTTTCTGAGCTAGAGCTTGGATTTTCTCCCACCTTCTCCTGCCCTTTACCAGACAAACTGTGGCTGGCTGGGAGGGGGCTTGAGCTCTGTGGGGTGATTTTATCCTCTCCTGTCGACACCAAATGACAGCATTTACCCTGGACATTTGAAGTTGGGCAAAATGTTGGTATTGGTGAGCTTTAGCCTCTTCTCGTAAACTGAGCCCCAAACTCCTGCCATTGTGGAGGACACGACTCACCCTGACGGCTCTAACCCAGTCAGAGTCGGTGTTCTTTTTTGTTCAGAAAAAGAAAACAAAATTTTCCTCGGCTCCCAGTAATGCTAAGGTTCTAAGGAGCCGGCAAAGGACCCTCTACAAGTTTCTGTAACCACTGGTTTAATTTCCCTCCCCACAGTGGTTCTCCTGTGAGTTAAATGACCAGAGGTGGGGGTTTTGTGAACATCTATAACCCAGTTTCTGCTCTGAAATGTTCCCCTTTCACAGACAGTACTCTTCCCCCTTTTCCCACAGGGATTATGCGGAGTCCCCCATGGGATGCCCGAGCTCTCCCTACACTCTGTTTTTTCTATGCATGCATACCTATGAGAAAGATTAATTTATAAAGATTTTTGTAAGATTATTTATAATTTTATAAGATTAATTTATTATAAATTTAGGCACAGTAAGAAATTAAAACAGGAAATTCATAAAACAATTATAGCAACATATTGTAATAAAACTACCAGCGTGATACTGTAACGCTGCGTGGCCATGTTTAAGAAAAATAAGGGTAATCTGTAGACAAACGCTGCAAGACTCCAACAGTCACTCTGTTAGCCCAGAAAGCCCCTAGGTGATTAAGGGCAGGGAGCCTATGTATTGTGGATATGCTGGAAAAGGGGACAGTTCCTGTCCTGGGTGGGACAGAGCCAAACAGCAAAATTTTCAGCATGCTGCTCAGTAGAATGCACAATGCACAGCTGATGAATTGTTTCCGTCTAGAATTTTCCATTTAAAATTTTGGACCACAGTTGACTCTGGGTAGCTAAAACTGGCTAGAGGGAAGGTGACAGGATTCAGAAGCGCGCTGAGGCTTAGCAGCCCTAAAGCCGGAGTGCATCCCGAGACCCCGAAGTCTTCCTGACTGTGGCACAGAGGTTTGGTCCTCCGCTGCTTTTCTGGTTCTGGTAGCAAGTCGTGGGAATTTATAAGTTACGGAGAGGTGGGGCTTGTGTTTGGAAATTATTTTCTCTCATGTTTTAGGTTTGAGCTTCAGCGTCATTGGTTCTGAGCTAGGAAGATCCAGCCTGCTGCCAAAACCCTAGTATGTGTCACAAATAAATGACCGTGACACTTTATGTTTGTTTCGCTTTGCTCTTCTTTTGCAAAATGTGCAGTAAGTGGCAGACCAGGAGAAGATCTTCTTTTTTCCTCTTTTTTTTTTTTTTTTCAACACTGGCGATTGAACCCAGGATTTTGCACGTGTTAGGCAAGCACTCTGCCCCTGAATTGCATCCCTAGGCCCCCAAGGGATTATTTTCGAACAAAGAAATGGTAGACGTTAACATTTAGAATATACTATTCACTCCTCCAGACAGGTGCTGAAAGTCAACATGCAATATGCAAAGGGTATGAACAGGCAGCCCGCAGAAGGGCTCTTTGGAATATTAAATTCATTTAGTGCAACTAGAGCTCTTAGAACAGAGCCTGCTGGAGAGAGGCTGTTTACTCATTGTAGAAGGGAGAGGGATAAAGGGATTAAAACATAATCAAGTTATAATGTATGCACAAGTTATAATATATATATTCTAATATGTAATCAATGTATGCACGTACCAATGTCCCCAAATAAACATCACCATTTGATATTGCAAACATACCCTGATAAAAAAAAATCTTAATTGAGGCATAATTTTCATAGCATAAAAGCCTCCCATTTCAGTGTATAATTTGATGACCTTTGGTAAATTTCCTGAGTTAGACACCCACAACTACAACCCAGCTATAGAACATTCCTGTCATCTCAAAAAGGTTCCCGTGGCCATTTCCTGACAGTTCTTGATGGCACCTCCAGACTCAGGAAACCACGAATCTACATTCTACCCCCTAAAGACTTACCTTTTCTGGATATTTTGTATCTAGTCATGCGTCTTGTAATGACATTTCAGCCACATATGTGGCAGTGGTTCCATCTGATTACACCAGAGCTGAAAATTGCCCAGCATCTAGTGTTTCTGCCGTATCTTTTCTGTGTTTGGCTGTATTCTGGTACAGAAGTACTCTCCTTTGTGTTATAGCTGCCCATGGTGTTCAGTACAGGGACATGCTGTACAGATTTGTAACCCAGGGAAGATGGGGTATTACCATATGGCCTGGGTGTGTCACGGGCCCTACCATCTTGATTTGTGTCAGTACACCCTCTGGACACACAATGATGAAATTCCCCAATGGGACATTTCTCAGAACATGTGCCTGTTGTCCAGTGACATGTAACAGTACGGCAGCGCCTCCTCCCCCTCTGCGGGGGTGCATTCCAAGACCCCCAGAGGATTCCCATGCTAAGGTTTTGTTTATAAGTTGGGCATGGTGAGAGATTAACAACAATAACAAAATAGAACAATTACAACAACAACCGTAGCTAAAGTTATGTAAATGTAGCTCATCTCTCTGGAACTTTCCATTAGATGTTCTCAGCCTGTGGTTGACCACTAGTAACTGAACTTTGGATTTGGGGGTATCTACTGTAAATGGAATCATTATACGCAGTCCTTTGTGTCTGGGATGTTAGCAATTACTACTTTTAAAAGTAAAATCATTGTATTGAGTAGTTTTGGGGTGCACCCTAAAAAATCAGCAGACTTTTTTCTTTCTTTCTTTTTTTTTTTTTTTTTTTTTTTTT